ATATATATATATATATATGAATGAGAGAAAGAAAAATGGATAGAGGAAATGCAGAAGTAAATAGAGCGATAAAGGGCAGTGACACTATATGAGCTTTTTTTATTCAGTCAAATTCTAGACATTGATGGTGGTAAGCAGTAAAGAAATGTCTGCTTTCCTAATCTCTGATTCCGTTTTTTTTTCTTACCCTTGTTTTGTCTTTCTCTCTAATCCTGACTGACAAGTTTTAGTCCGTCTAAAAATGCGGATGACAGTAACTCCATAAGCTGGAGCTGTCACAACCTACCATACAAATCTATGCAGTCATTGCTTCAGCATTTTCTATGGAAGTGTATAATGATGCCCCGAGATACGTGAATATATGGGTTTTTATATAAAGGAGAATAATAATAAAAAAGAAAAGGCTTTCGATGCGAAACCACGAATTTTTCGCTTGATGAATAGACGTGAAAAAGGCGGAAAATATCTTCAAACGGATCGTTCTAACACGCTTCTGTAGACTTGGTTAATGTTTTTCTTCGCTTCTGCTTATCTCCCCTGGAGACAGTCAGAGGTAATGGCTGCCAAACAGCGTGTATTGCTTTAAAAAAGCGTTTATTGGCCTGCGGAGTCCTGCGATGGCGGAAAACAGTGTTAGTGAATTGCCTCCAAGGAATGATTCCACGAGCTTAAGGAGTCATTAGGGTGCGAGAAGAAGGCGAGGAAGCAGTGATTAGGAAAAAAAATATCTAAAGAAAATATAATGGGAAGTAGTTTGTGGAAAGAAAAAAGAGAGTAGTTGCAATGTAAAAGAGGGCATGTCGAGAATAAGGGAATAGAAGGAAAGATTTAAAAAATAGAATTAACGGAAATACAGAAAAATGGGAAGAAAACAGGCAAAGAATAAAATGCAAAAAATAAAAATTGTTTTAAAAAGACGATATCTAGTCTTGAATGATGAAAAAAAAATATTAGAAAATACGAAAGATTATGACGAAGCAGTGTAAACCGGAAAAGGAAAATAGAAAAGGAATAATGGATAAACATATCATTAAAAATGTGTTTGTTTCGTATGAATGTTTGCTAAACGAATATAAAGCGTTGGGAATAGATATTACCAAGACGAAGTAAGGGATACATCTATAAAAATATGTTACAATCAACAATGAGGACTTATTTGAAATAAAGAATATATTATTTTGATCATAACATTAAGAGAAAAAGAAGAAAAAAAACATGACCCCCCCCCAAAAAAAAATATTACATGTAATCTGAGTACGGAAAAGCAGAATTAAGAAAATGAATTATTATTAACGAAAGGAAAACTTCCTAGAATTTAGTACGCCCTATTATGCGAATCAATCCCGTAAGTCGTTTCTAGAACCCTCCTTATTCGAACCTTTTTATCCTGGAGCTCCAGAATCACAAATAAATATACAAAATAACGGAAAGTACATCATTTGAGAACTTTCAACAGTAGGAACAAGTAAAAAGGATAGCACATGTTACTCTATTGAGATAGTAATGACATAATTATGATTTTAACATTTCAATCTACTTCACAATAAAATGTTAACGAGAAAAAAATCAATCAGTATCGGAAAGAGGAATAATATTGACCTTGAAAATCTATTTTCCTGAAAAATTATTTAAAGAGAAAAAAATTATGAATTTCAACTGGAAATAGCACTGACTGTTGAATGTTCTTATAAAGAAACGGGCTAATATTAAAATTAACATTTGCATTTGAAATTGCATTTTCTTATGTCACAAAATAGTACGCAATCACATGTCCAACCCTATCGCGGTAATGTCGGTTTTTGATCTTCAAAAAATGCTTAATTTTATAGATATCACTTCTGTCTGTCGAATTTCTACGCATATATGGAGGATGGTCAAATACCAAATGAGAACAGAAACAGACAATCGATTATTTTAAAATCTGTTGTTGTCATATCAGTCGGATGGTATTTGCCATACTCTGATGATATTGTAGTCATTCAGACACTCAGTACTGGGCGAATAGAACTCACCCAATATTTTGCCTCGTGAAAACGATGAGCAAAAATCGAAAAGACAGAACGAAAATCAAGAGACAAGATGACCCAAAGATTATTCATCCTCAGAAATAAAAACGCGAAAGAAAATTAATAAGAATATTACAGCAAACTGGATTTTATTGATTTCACTTAGATTTTTTTACTCACATCAAAATTTATTTTAATTCCCATTCTATCGCCTAATATATCTACCTTCTGATGGAGTCCTTTCCTGAGAGATCACAACTTCAAGTAGTAATTCTTGACTAAAATATAGTTTTTAATTTTACAATCAGAAGTATTTTCATATACATAAAATGTATTAACATCTTCAGTGTATGTATACGATATATCTTCTGAAGCGACGAAGACATAATTGACCTGAAGTTAGAGGTTTTTAAATTAGAAAAGAGGATACTTTAAAATAAATCTAATTTTAAAGCTGAAAAAAAAAAACTTTCAAAAACAGCATTGCCTTAAACAAAGAACAAAGAATAATGTCAATTTAATATAACGGAAAACCTGTTTTGTTAAAACTATCTGAACGAGATGAAAGTAATAATCTGAAAAATATACTTAAAGAGTGTGCTTTATTTCAAAACTAATTGTTTAGGCTCTTCGCCTTTCTTTCATCATTTTCTCTTCCTGTAGATTTGTATCATATATTCAATAAAATAAGTAAATTAACAGATTTTAAATTTTAGTTAAATCTTTCTATATATAAATGGACATCCTGCCTTAATGCATTAAGCAGTTTTAACATCGTAGCTTAGGACGTCTTAATTAACCATAATGTGATTCAAACATATGGCTTATATTTTAATAGTTGGACTTGACAGATGTCCACCGAAATACCTAAATTTACAACGACACTCGGTGAATATGCATATAAAGATAAGGTATTGAAAGTCTTCCTAGAGAGATATACATCCTTTCTATTGTCATCTTTTATTTTTTAGTCTGTATTACTCGCTCTCAATCAGACACTGAAATATTAACGTCCTTACTAAAATCGTCTCAATCCACGAGTTTGTGTTTACATTTTTATCTTGGTTTTTAAATAAATACAAAGAAAGCAATGTTCATATTTGTCCTAAATAAGTAAGTTAAGTCTCTTTTTTGTTTTGCTTTTTGTTTAAAAAATCTGTGTTTTTAAATGCAAAATTACGATAATCGTAGAACAACATGCAAGGAGGCTAACGAAAGTAAGAAAAAACAAAAAAAAATACAAAAAATGTCATACGACAATTGAAAATGGATCAGAAAAATGAAGAACTGTAAAACATAGAAAAAATGAAAAAAAAAATTGTTTAATATTTTATTAGTGATCCTCTTTTATAAGGGTTCAAATCCAAAAGTTGTCAGCTTAAAGTGATTCACTCCAATTTTCGGTTTGGCAGTAATTATCAACATGTCATGCTATAAAAAGAATTATGAAAGTAGTATAACCGAAATCTAACCATTCCATTAATATTAATGGAAACAACCTACCTAGGGAAATAGCACCTGATCTTTCTTCCAAATATTACTCCGCTAGCCTCACATAGTTAATTTATTGTCCTTTTCACTGGTCAAAGATGTCTACAAATCGTCTTTTTAGCTGTCAGCTAATTCGTTATGGTCTCCGTTAACACGTTAATGTTCATTATTTCGAGGCTAATGAGTATGAAGCCGGAGAGGCGAGGCTGATGCAGTCTTTTTGTTTTGTCTTGAAAAATGTCAACAGGAAGCATGTATATTTGGGCGCTCAAGTTTTCGAAAATGGCTGCATCTTTTCCGGATAATCTGATTCTTCTCGGAGAGACATGGCCCGATTCCGAGTGCTCTTTCACTATTGGTGGCCTCCTTCAGCGTGAATCGCATTTAACGAATCACTGGCTAAGTTTGAAACCTCTGTTCCAACCTTCTATCTGTATTTTTCTAGTAAGTCATTCCTGAATCTTTTAAATCATTCAAATATTATTTTGCGAATGAATTCTCAGGTTTCAAACTAAGCTCCTTCTGTATTCATGAAGCAACATACTCAGTTCCTAGATGTCACTGCAAAATCTCACAGCATAGGATCGACACAATTACAAAACGAAAGCGACCTTCCGCAACCAACATATGGATCCATAAAATCATGCAGTACCTTCCACGATCTGCTGTTCAAATAAAGTGATATCTTGAGTCTTCTAATCTGGTGACGTTTCGTCAGTTGCTTTTTTCCATTAACAACGTTCTCTTGTGCACTTGAGGCGCACGACACGATTTTTTCTTTTGAACAACGACTGCTGAAATGTATGCCCAGTTCAGTGATTGAATCGTTGAGCAGTGTGGCTCTCTCTCTAATTTTGACACTTCAATTTGAGATTATAAAGAATCAAATTCCCTCGCGCTGTTATTCATAATATATATTGGCTTATATTTCATTCAAATTCATTGTTTGCATTTGATTAATCATTTTCTTCTTGTATTTTTAACTTTATCCCAAATTTCTTCATTACATATTACCCCGTGCACTTATCTTTCGACCTTTATTTAAATTACCTATGTACGATAATGGAATGGCATTAATTATATACCTGAAGATGTCTTGCATTCTGCGATTAAATGTTTCCTTTAATCTTCATAATTATCTTGTTCATATATGATTAAAAAATCTCATAACTCGAAAAACTCAATTCTTGTTCCCAACTTTGCAGTTCCTATTTTGCGACCAGTAATTTAATTGCTTCGTTATCTTAAAGCCTCTCAACCATTTGCAGGTTATTTAAAACAGAAAATATTTTTACATTGTTAGAATTTTATTTGGAGATATTGATGGTTTCGTAAGAGAAGTCTTTCTAATTAACACAAAGCTGGGGACAGAAAAGGTAGAGTCTTACCCTTCGTAAGCGTATTTGCCGTAATTTAATTTAACGAACCCAAATGAAATTAGAACTCGGCTTGGCCATTAAAATTTCCGTGCCATTATCTATTACACCACACGCACATCGAAGTTTGCAGTACCTGATATCCCCAAGCGGTCACCCATCTAGGCCCTGAACATGCTCTACATTGCTTAACTTTAGTGATTGTACGGGAACCGGTATTATCAATTTGGTTTGCCCGTAATCCCCGATCATTAATGTCGCAAGAAACAATGAAGTGCGTGACGATGAGAAATCGCTTCATTATATGAGGACGTTCGGCTCACTTTTCCCAATTTTGCCATAGATATCCCTGACCATAGGCGACAAATACCTATGTATTTTTCTCTCTTTAACTACTCAGGCTATAACCCATTTCTTCTCCGGATCGCAAAATAATGTAAAAACAGTCAGGTTGAGAGTAACAAGAATTACTATTGCTAAAACCCTGCTGGGAGAGAGAGACAGAGAGAGAGAGACAGACAGAGAAAGAGAGACAGACAGAGAGAGAGAGACAGACAGAGAGAGAGACAGAGGGAGAGAGAGACACAGAGAGAGAGAGAGAGAGAGAGAGAGAGAGCCTGCAGACCTCGTAAATCTCCGTTTCTAAAGGCCGACAAATTGAAATCACGTTTTGCCTTTGCAAATGACCACTTTGATAAGTCTACCTCTTTTTACGAGAATTGACGATGACCCTATGTGACAAAACCAGAACAATTTGGCTAAAATAACAAGGAAATAGTTTGGAAACATCAACGTTTAGCTTTCAGTCATACGAACGAAAGCAATATAGCAAAACAGTTTGGAGAGAACATAGTGTTTCTCTGTAACGGAACAAAAATTTTGGAAAGAGTTTCTAGTATAATGAAAAGAAAGAAATCTAAAAATCCCTTCAAATTTAATCCAGAGTTATATTCACGATAAGAAAAAAAATATTTTTCTTTGCCTTCATAGATTCCTGACCTTATTTCATTTGAAAATTGATGAACTGAAAATATGTTTGAATGACAGAAAATCAAATACAGGAGAATCTCATATCCGGAATCCCGCGTATCAAGAATCTCTCATATCCGGATTGCCTCGTATCCGGAATCCCGCATATCCGGACATGATCTTGATGTGTGCATTTGGTGATATGTAATTGACTTGACATACCTGTTTTTCAGGAAATTTACTTTGGATAATTGTTTATGATTATTTCACCCTAATCGTTTGGGGCAAAAGATGATGGGAATAAAAGGAAAAGAACAACTTTGAAGTTATCGCAAAAAGTGGAAAATTTAAACAGACTGGACGCTGATGAAATTCCTTGTAACTAATGGCTGAGTTCAACATAGGAAAGTCAACATTGTATGATATAAAATCTTCCAAAGAAACTATTTTCCAGCATTCACACTGTCACAAAAACAAGGAAATAAAAAAAAAGAACATGAATGTGATGAAAACTGAAATTGGAAAACCTATTGAAAAAGTTGTCAGTTTAACGGAAAAAAAATAGCCAGCATTCAGTACTATCACACGCAAAGTTAAAAAGTGTCTTTTGTTTGAAAAAATTCAAGAACAAAAACAAAACGAAATGCGAAAAAAGTTGAGACTGACATTAAAAGTAAAATAATCATTATGCAAAAGTGATTAATAATTCCTCGTTACATTATTTGTTTTTGCATACGTTGCATACTTAATTTGATGAATTTTCATTAACATTGCATAATTTATTTCTTTTTCCTTCAAATCAAATTCGTTATATTTCACTCACCATTAGCTTCTCTTGTTTACTCTAAAACATTGATTATAAATGTTAAACCTGATTTCAGTTGCTTTATTTTAATCTAAATATAACCTTCATATCCTGAATTTGTAACCAATTCCTCATATCCGCAAAGCCTTCTTAGTCCGGTTGTTAGGGATTCTACAGTATAACCGCTCATATCCGGATTTGGTAACCAATTCCTCATATTCGGAAAGGCTTCTTAGTCCCGTTGTCAGGGATTCTAGTGTAATAAATTTTTACGGATATCATGGTGTTTTCACCATGTGTCAAATATTGCACAACTGTCCTGTACATTCCCATTCATGTTTCCCTCTTTGGCATTCAAGTAGTGATTCTAATTTTTGATCTGTCTCCATTTTATGCTGACCTTGTGTTTTGGGGTTTGGGAACGTCGTCGATATTAAAATAAAATTCCACTCAAACATCTTGCATTCCCGGTGCTTCACAAAATGTCATTATGTCTATCATGTCTCTTTATTTATAAATTTTAATTCTTGGCTCTTATGATGTCTACCTTTCTTAATCCACTGTAAAGTTTAGCAGCACTTGTTCCTAGGTGACCGTTATTAATCCGATCGACAACTAATTTAGCTTCATCGTAATGTATACTGTTAACAGCTACAAGTGTTTTCTAAAGTTTTGATTAGGTGAGTATTTGTTGGGTCAATATTGAGATTTTATGAGGGTCTTTTCATTAAAGTGTCCTATTTCTTATTTTTGTATTTATTTCATGTTTTGAATGCAGAGATACAGCTTAGATGTTCCTTGTACCAGGAAATTATACGGAAATATTTAATGCATTCTAATTGGCGCCACTCACCAGTATCGTGATCTATAAGGCAATAACAATCAAGAAATGTTTTGTATTTTCATTAGGTGCAATTGCTTTTATGTCGCTCGTGGATTGTACCAGAAGGTTCGGTTCTGTGAAGATGAATTAATTCCGTTTTCGAAACCAGTAGTATATCCACGTATAGTGCCTCGGATTGAGGAATAGGAAAGCCAATTTCAAAGGTATGATTCCTCTTCTTCTCTCACCAGCTATGGCTAAATAGCTGGAAAGACCTGGTTCTATAGCCTTGAATGGCAACTGGTCTACCGCAGAACGAAATGACATCCTACAGTGGGAAAAACATCTACTTCATCACTCATATATCTAAAGGTACATGATCACCTAAGCTATTCTCTTTCTGAATTCAGTATTAAACTTCTCATATTCCGGAACTGGTGAGTCTATGTCAGTTGAAAAAGACGGAAATGATCTTGGAGTTAACTCCTCCTTAATTCCCTAATTGTCACTAGGAGTCTCTCTCCCTGCACTATAAATACTGGGCGACTTCTCGCCTCGTTCTCTTTTTCATTTGGCATTTCAGCGGACACATTTAAAAATGTGATCTCTCGCAGAGATCCATGTTTTCGCCCACTTGTGGGAAAACATCATGAAACACACATACACATACGTACGAACATTCATCAAAATACAAATTCTTTACGTTCACAATCAAACACAAATGTTAATGTCACTTTTAAAATTGTTGTTTAATACATATATTTGTTGGCATATATATATATATATATATATATATATATATATATATATTATATATGTTTGTTTTCTTTTCATCTTCGCTTGGACTAAATTTGAGTCTGGCCATGTTCTTGTAGTTTGGACCTTCTAGCAAGAAATAACAGCACGTGTTTCTACTAAAACAACACTCAAACCCACACGGTCCTCCACAATCTCTTGTTTATGTTTGCCTTATTCATGTTGGCGGAGTGTGGGTTGTAGTCGTTCAGCGTCTATTTATATAGAAAATGAACGTGGTTAAGTGTTCTTTTTTTCCCGCGTTTTTTAAGTTCTTTGTTTGAAACAATATCTAAGCGAAAACGAGGCTGAATAAAAATGGGGGCGTGGTTTATAGCAGCTGTTTCTACTTATTTGCAGATTTTACGACATGGCTTATTTAACCATTGATATGTCTTGTTGACTTTATTTTTTTTTATTTACTCTATTTATATTCCGAATAATTTCTTCATTTTTGTTGTTGTTATCACAAGGTTTCGGTCGTTGTTCCCACCAGGCTCAATCAACCTAATGTTCCGTACCCTAGTAATCCATGGACAGGGCGGTGTGTAACAACTTGGTGAGCAATAACTAAGCCGCACAAAATAAAAACTAGACAGGATACACTTAGACATTGTCTGTGAAACGAGAACGACCCACCTCCGTTGATTAAATAACGAGTTAAATTTGGAATTCACTGTAGGCTACTCGGATCGATGTATATCTGATGAAGGCTAGAGGACACAACAGCCGAAATGTTATGGTAACAACAACTGAGATGAGGACAATAATTCAAATGTAAATAGTGTAAATAATAATAACTCCTCATCCCAGAAATTCACACAGAAATCTATTTTAGCTGATTCTTTTTCCTCTCCTTTTTGGATGGGGATGGTGGTGCTGTTTACCCTTCGCGTGTCTGGGTTTCCTCGGAAATGTATATTTGGTAGAGTGATTTCGTCAAGTTCTTTAATCTGTTCAAAATTACGTACGTGTCTAAAAGTACTGTTACTATATGGTAGAGGGGGACAATCTTGGTGATTATTAAATTGATCTAACGTGACCTCTAATTCTATCTTGCATGTTATATTCATTGTAAATAAATATCTTCTATCTGCATTTGTTTCCACTATAGGGACAGTATGTTGTAATAATAGGGGCGATTGATTCTTATACTGAAAATAAAACGTCATTTAACTCTTTCATACAGTTTGCAGTGTTTATACATTTTTTTGTTTGTTTTAATGCCAAGACTGTTTCCATACCAACGCACTGTTAGCTCTCATTTCTGTTCGTTCTGTTAATTATATTTCTGAGTTTTGAATTTCTCTTTTTATTAATCTTGCTCTACCTTGTTCTAAGTGATTATTTAATCTTTTCCATTTGAAATATAAAGATTTCGGATAACATGATACACCTAGTCATCCGTTCCATACGATTTTATTCGATGCACATGATAGATTACAATTGTTAAATACCAACATTCCAAATTACATCCATTTTTGTTAATGGCTTAAAATTGTAGACGTTTACTAATCCATTTAATATTCTAAGTGTCAGCATGTTTTATTCTTTTGCTTTTCGTTTTTTTTTTTGTCTTGGCAATTTTTAATCAGTTGTTAAATAATATTTGAAATCTATTATATATTACTTTTTATTACTTAATCGTTAATAGACCAAGATTAATTCAACCCTAATCTAAGAAGTAAGACAAGGTTAGATAGATTAAGAAAAATATCTGTAGGTTAAAAAAATTCTGTATTAATTATAGCTTACTCTTTTGAATGTATTATTTCCAACTAATTTGTGTACGGCAGATATTAACAGATTAAACACCAGTGCTGGTAAAATCAGAAGATATAAAATCTT